TAAGTGCCTTACCATGCGCCAAGAACTAGATAAGGCATTTTGCAGACACTTTCTCACAGAATCCTCTCAACAACCAGGACAAGGATGTTATATTGTTAGTCCCAGTTCACAGATAAGAAAGCTGAGGCCACAGAAGTGGAGTCATGGTTAAACTGGGATCATTCACTTGTTTGACGGACTTTGGTGCCAGACCCCATGCTAGAGGCTGAAGATTCAGGCTGTGGAGCCCCAGCCTCTGCACCCTGGGGTTGCGCTAGCATCTGGGACTGTCAGATCTCACATCAAGGGCTCTTCCCAGTACATACCTCACAGCCTTGAAAATCTTCTCTCCCACCTGCTATGGGGCATGTGGGCTGTCCCTCTTGCTCATCCCCTGCCTTTCTGCTCCCCAGCTATACCTTACAGTTTCCCCTCTAGTTCCTACAGAATGCTGCCTCCCGCAAGAAATCTTCCCTGAATGCTGCTACCCACACCCTCCTCCTCCTCCCTCCGAGGCACCTATCTCCTTCACATGCACTGGTTCCTTGGCCACTCCAGACCAGGAGCCCCTTGAAGGAAGAATGTGGCCACTCCCTCTCTGGGTCATTGATGCCAGGCAAAGAGAAGAGGAGAGAGGAGGGGAAGGGAGGTTATGGGAAGCAGGAGAGTCCTGGATTCACACACAGCCTGCATCACCATGTGACTTGGGGTAAGTCACTGCCTCTCATCTGAAACTCGTTCCCTCTGTGTAAAATGGAGACCTTGATCCCTGCAAGGAGGGTCATAGTGAGGATGCTGTGAAATTTAAATCCTTTACACAGGGGTCCACTTTGTGTCCTCTGTCCTTGGGCAAATCAGAGCCCTCTCAAATAACCAGATGAGCACCATATTTTCTCCTGCGCTGCCCACCCACAGGTGCTGTGCTGGCCCCTGTACCTAAAAGCCTGGATTGTGGAGGGCCTGGATGTCCCAGTCTCGGTGAGAAATGCCCTAGCATGCCCAGGCCGTGGAACTTCTTGGGAGACTCAAGGAAGAAGGGAAGGACTGGGACTGGGTGGGCATCCCCCTGAGGCCACTGCTGCTGTCCTATCAACCTACACAGGAGGGGAGGGATGGGGTCACCCTTCAAAGCAGGGCAATTGTAGGGCAGCGTCTCAGGCATGCCATTTCAGGGGCTGGGACAGGGATCTGGACTTAAGACCCAGCTACTCACTGACGGGCTGCTGGATGTATAAGCTAGATGCCATTGGGAGATAATGCCAGATATCACTCCCCCAACCACTGCCCAGCTCAGGCCACACCTCCTGACCTTTAGGTCTGAAAAACTAAGTAGCCACCATGGCTATGCACCTAAGACAAAGAGGCATGATGAGGCCTGCCCTTCCGATCAGGAACTTCCAATCAGGAGTTTTCATCACTTCCGACTGCCAGGCTGGAGCAGGTTGACTTCTCTTAAGCCGGGTGCTAGCTCCAGATGCTCCAGACACTGCTCTGGCCTGGGCGTCCTGTGGCCACCGTCACCACTCTCTGCCCTTGCTTCTCATTGCTAGCTCAGAGGAGCGAGGAAGGAAGGGGAGCCTTCACTCTGGTCCAGACTGCTCCCCACACCCTTGCTCTAAGAGCCCCTCATGTCAGTCTCAGGATCAAGAGCCCCAGTCTCGCACTTACCAGGCTGCACCCAGAACTACAGACCGATCATGAACTTCGGGACCCAGTGCAGGAAGTGGCCACTTAACCTGCATTCCCAGTGACAAGTTCTTACCTCTGCCTTACATCTTCCTGCAGCAGTGAGGCTCCCCCACCCCAACCACAAACACACAGGGTTGTTAGTTTTCCTGTTCGGGGTGATCTCAGGCAATGTTTTGACACTGGCAGACTTGGGACTGGGCTGGGTTAGTTTCCCAGCCCATCCACAATCTGCAGGGTGAGCTTGAACAGGTTACCATGCTCTCAGCCACAGTCTCCTCATCGGTCCAGGTGGCCAAGGACATAGCAGTGGAAGTGTTCACAGCCTGTCAGCCAAACCCTGACTGCTGTCATCTGTGCAGTGAGGGCTCTGCCATAGTTGCCACGGGTTCCCTCTCGGTGAAGTGAGCGTTCCCCCCTCCTCGTACTTCCTGAGGGGCAGGTGTGCCTCAAGGGTCCTCACTCCCCCACCCGTTGGCATGTGGCTCCCTCCAGCGCTCTTGGGCACCTGGCCTTGGGAAGTGATGAAAACTCCTGATTGGAAGTTCTTAACAGTGTTGCCATGAAAATGAAATCCTAGACTTTTCTGGGTTTCTCGTGAGATGTTGGCAGATCCACGTCATCTGTTACAGTTAGGGTGGGCAAATGAGTGATTTTAAATATTTCCTTTAACCTTTCCTAAACTTTTTGAACAGTTTTTTGAGTGAGGCTGTTGTGGCAGAGGAGGGTGGCCTCTGCCACACTCCCTGGCATCAGAGGGTGGGCACAAAGGGGCCACAAGAAGTGCTCAGAGAGGGGCAGGTTCTCCAGGGGATGTGTGCACAGGGCATCCCAGCTGAAGGGACCACTTGGCCAAAAGGGCAGTGGCAAGGGCAGGCAGGCTGGTGGAGAGGTGGGTCCGTGCCAGGGGCTTGAGTGCCTGTGGGGTGTGGCCACAGCCAGCCCTGGCGAGTCCTCTCAACAGGCTGGAGAGGGCGGGCGTGGGGCGAGCCCTCAGACGTGGGGACCTGCCATCAGGGTAGCCCGCTGTAGTCAGGGAGTCAGCCCTGCATGCACGCAGGGTGCTCTGGGCTCCGCTAGGAGTCTATGATGGGGCCGGGGGGAGGTCAGGGAGGGCTTCCTGAAGCGGGTGTATGACCACACTGCATCCTAAAGTGGAACCAGCAGCAGAGTGCACTCCTGCGAGGGAGGACCTGAACTGAGGAATATGGCACCCGCTGTGGCTGCCCTGCCCTACCTGGTCTGGGCCTCAAGGACAGCCTGCTCCCTCCATCTGCTGCCTCCCACTCTCCCTGCCTCCAGCCCCCAAGGATCGCCCTTCTGAAGCTCAGCTGAGACCCAAGACCTGTCACTGTGCCCTCCCTGACTCACTATTCCCCCGGGGATGTCAGGTTTCCCATGGCTGGCATCGTCTGAGCCTGTCAAGCTCTCCAGCTTCCAAGAGGCAAAGAAAGGTGAGGAGGGGGCCTGAGGCCTAGCTGCCTCTCCCGGATGGACGGATGGGGCAGGTGGAACTTCCGGAGATAAGGGCAGCCAACAATGGGGGGCTGTGTGACATGGCCTCTCTCCCTGCGGGCCAGAGGAAATGAATGGCCTCCGCACCATTGATCCGCTGCAGCCTGTGGCACCTTCTCCAAGGGAGACCAGGGTGGGGGAGGTTCCCATGCACCCCGCTCGCTGTCCCCACCGGAGGCCTGGGCCTGCCACTCCAGGTCCTCTTCCTCCAGGACCTCACATGAAGAAGAGGGCCATGTGGAGGGGCAACTGGGACAGGAAGCAGTGGCCTGACAGCTCGGCCGTGTTGTGGGGGTGTGAGGACCCTCTCCGCATGAGGGCCTTGGACACACATTTTACCCAAATACCAGCCCCAGTGCGGGTCTCAGGCAGCAAGTGTGAGCGGCTGCTGGGGGAGGCTGGGGTTCTGTGGGCTGTCACTGCCACTGCAGCTGAGCTCAGTGGGGAGAATGAGGCACCAGGAGGGGTGTGACCCAACGGCCATCCTGTGGGGAGGGGCAGGTGTACTCAATGACAAGGACAGTGAAACCTTGGGATTTGCACAGATCCCCCTGAGTTCCGCCTTCCCTGTGTGTATCTTGATGGATCCGCCAAGATTCCTTCCTGCCTTGGGGCTGGGGTCCATCCTCTAGAGCAGAGCCTGGCTGGCCAGCCCAAAGGCTGTCCGTGATGACAGGAGTTTGTGGAGCCCTGGGTACCTGCTGCATGTCACGTGGGGGGCTGCCTCTGAAACCACATTCAGGGGCAGTCTCCAGGCTGGGGGTGCAGCCTCCCTGCCTCTCCCTTCACCATTTCCTACCCCTCACTCTTACCCCCTGCTCTTGGATGGCAGCCTGAGACTGGAAAGGGGCTGAGATTCTCAGCCTAGGTGACATTCATAGTAAAGCATGGAACCCGTGGAAGCTCTGGGATGATAAGGCCGGCCCACTATTCGGAGAGGAAAACTGAGGAAGCCAAGGCTGAGAGCCTCCCAAAGCCCCACAGGGAGCAGGTGGCACAGAAAAGGTAGAAACAGGCTTCTGACTCCTCATACACTCTTGGTTCTGGAGTACTTGGCTGCGAAGGGCCCATGCGTCTCAAAAAATAGCTCAGAAAGCAGAAGGAACCTGCCCTGAGCCACCTCGCCTGGAGGAAGTGAAATAATTAGGAGAAATTCTTCATGGGATTTCAGCCTTACGGAGGCTGGGACTGTGACAGGCAGGGGTAGGAGCAAGTGGAAGAGGCAGGGAGGGCGAGCAACTTGACCATGTCTCCTGGGCACAGAGGAGGCGGGTACAAAGTGGGAGAGGCCAAGAGAGGGGAGATCTACCACAGGGTCTAGGGATGTGATGCAGGAAGCCTCTTCCTGAGACAGGCCAGGAGTTGGATGGAGGGAGAATGGGAACAGATACAGGTGAGTTTGGGGGACAGGATGTTAGAGCACATTTCCTGTGAAGCAGAGGGTCCTGTCGGATAACAGTGGAGTAGCCTGAGGGCCAGTGGTGTGCCATTGGGGGTGGCATGGGGTGCCTCACTCGGGTCTATAGAAAATTTTGCCTCTGGGTACCAAATACAACCTCAGACTCATAGCAGCTCTGGCATGAACCATCCTAATTGTGGTGGCAGAAGCCAAACCATGTACCAAAAGTCTGGAGTCCTAGCCCTTAGCTCTTGCCTCTTCTCTCTAATACAAGGAATCTACCATGCACCAGGCCCTCCAACCCAGCCTTTTATTAGTACTAACTTGTTGAAGTCTCCTAACAACCATATGAGGTGGGTCCAGTTACACACAAAGACACACACATGTGGACACGCACAGACACTCGGGCATACACTAACTC